TTTTTTTAAGAGCAGGCTTTTCTCTTCAAGCCTTGTTATTTCTCTCTCTTTACTTTTGCTATCCTGAGTGTGTACCTTTCATCTGGTGCATGGCTGAAGCCTTGAATCCTTGTGGTCAGCACTCAGTTGTTTTCACTAAGCTTGTGGGAGTGAGTCAAATCACTCTTCTTTTTGTTTGTTTGTTTACTTTTCAGTGCGGCTGCCAGCTGTGTCTCCGGTGCCTCTTCAGGGATCCGCCCCTCTCTCCGAGCTCCGCTCTCTCCAGCGGCAAGAAAAATCCTGAGGTAAGTGTCTTATCTCCTGGAGATCTTCTTTCTCCCTCACTTTCTCCTTCAGACACTCTTTCTTTCTTCTCCCTTTCTGAGACTCCCTTCTCCTCTTTCTTTTCTTTTCCCGGAGCTTCTATCCTAATATGGTAATAGCTGCGGAAGCGGCGTTCTCCGCCTCTTTTTACCGCGTCGCTGTTTACTATTTCACAATGACCTTTATCAAAAAATCTCGTGTCAAACTACATATCGCTGAAACAGAACATCAATTCCAGATCCAGAAATAACAGTTGTAAATATAGTTTACTGAGCTCTTCGTTTTAATTTGCAAGAAAGAATAGCATACGGTGTGTTAATTTTGTTAAGAAACATTCCACTGATTATAAAACAACACTTTATTTATAATGCAGTCAAATCTAACAAGGAGTTCCACAAAGTATTTATATATAAAGTATGCATAGGTGAAAAACAAGCATGCACTCAAGACAGACATACCTTTAAAATATATCACATTCAGAAGTTCTGAATGCAAAATGAATGGTAAGAGGGCAGAACACTTGAAATATGAAAGTGAGATAGTTACGGTCAAGTCTACTCTCTAATAGATTCGGTATGAACTCTACAGACAATATTATATGTCCATCATTGAATAAACTAAAGAATATTCAGGCTCTCTAGCTGCATACTACCAAGGCAATTTACATGATTTTCAAAAATTCGTCTCGTTAATGTTATGACATTAGGCAAAATAAAGAAGATATGACACTAAGTGTAATGAAACATCTCACTATTTGAGGTTCCCACCATTTTACTCCACAATTTTACCTACTTCAGTCTACTTAACAAAACATTACATTTGCAACTAAAGTGTTTTCAAAGATTTTTCACTGAACTTCATAGGGAAAAATGCCTTATATTTTTATTAATTTCCTTTTTTGATATAACCACCCCCAAACCAACCTGAAAGCCTCCCTTAGATAAAGCCTCTATCATCTCACAGCCATGTTAGTTTCCTTTCATGTAATAGCCTCTTAAAAAGAAGTAAACATGAAGCAATGACTATCATAGGCCATGCAAACAGGATTTTTGAGACTTTAAGCTTTCTTAAAAGAAAGCCAATTGTTCATTTTATTCCAGTGTCCTTCAACTAAGAATCATTCCTCTCTGACGGAATAACGGTGACCCAACAAAAGAACATCCTCTCCTCTCAAGGCATACTTGCAAACATGGCTGCATCCTCTTCTATTTAGTCACCTCTCCATCACCATCCTATACTCGGATACAGACAGTTCATGTGCAAATGCAAAAATTGTAACTTGTTTCATCCATCAAATTCTGCTAAGCTGATAAACAAGAGACCAAACATGGACTCACTTCCAGTTGACAACTCAGAGTACACAAACTTCTAAGGAAGTGGTACCTTTGGAAATACCACCTTTGTAAGTGTGAATGAACTCCTGTAAGATTGGACGTGCACCAAACAGCATGTTTACATATAAATATTATTTATATCTGCAATAAATATACATTATGTGGGTCTCTGCACCACAGATTAAGGATAGAGTTTTTCCCATTATTTTAAGTCCTCTTAATTTCATTATTTAATATCAAGTATTAAAATGTTACTGATTTTTTTTCTCCAAATATCTTCTCATATAGTAGTTTAAACAGGTTAAAAAGAATCTGAAAGCTAATAGGACAAATATTACTGCTTCCTGTCAAACAGCACATAAATTCAATGTAATTTTAGAACTGGGAAATGATGGTTATTTTCTAAAAATAATCATATACATAAGACTACATGAAAGTTACTTTTGCTAGTCTTATAAACTACCGTTAACTATCTAGTTTATGTTAATTTAATAAAAGAATGAACAGAATCTCTCACACACAAAACTAGGTATCTCTATAAAGATTTCAAAAAAAGTTGTGTGAATGCATAATACCCAGTTTTAATCTTTATTATGTGTTTAAGATTTATCTTTTCCTCCAAAACCCTTAAGACCATAAGGCAACTTTATGAATTTTGCAGTTGCCAAATTTTAGTTTGTAAATTAAGGACATTTTTAATGGATCATAGACTTAAAACATCCTGAAAATCCTTTTCCTCTTTCACAATTAGGTGTAATAATTCTGTAGAGACATTCCTATTAATCAGCCATATTAATCAAATTCAGTCCTAGATGCACTAGTGTCCAGGAAGATATTTTGATCAGCTGCTTTATGGCATTCATGCTGCTAAAAATATCTGGTAACTAGGATCGCCCCATCATCCGTGGCAACCCTTAAAAGAAGCTCCTAATATTACAGTTAACACCTGTTTTCTGTACCATTTTTACCCCCATCATCCTCTATTCCATCACCACAATTTGATTGTCATAACATTTACAAATGTTATGATACTGAGGCCAGGTGGAGGTAAACAAATGCTTTGCATCATGTGCTTTAGTTCCTATTTGCAGAAAAACCCAAAGCTTTTCTTTCATTTCTCCATTTTGGAAAGGTGTCTTAACAACCCACTCCCCCCACCCCCCCCACCATTTTCTGTATCTCAGAGCTCTGATATTTTGTCATACCAGAGCTAGCAAAAAGCAATATGGTTTACTGCCACGTCTTCCCTGTCTATAGTTAGAAATACAATTAAACTGCCCATTTTGTTTTTTAAAGCCCTGCATGTCACACAGCATTTGTTCATTTTGAATTATTTGTCTTTTTATCCTGTGTTCCTTTAAGTTAGGGTTCAGTGTACTGCCATTATATTTTATTATGCCAAGCCATTCATTAAAGTACGCTTTAGATAACGTATCAGCTATATTATGTTTAGGTCCACTAAATTAATAATAGTACAATTTTTGCCAATGGCCAATGTCAAACCAGCAACTCACATCCAAAATATAATACTGACATGTTCTCCTACCCATAGAAGAAATGAATAATTAAACTAACGTTTTAATCTGAACTGATCTTAAACTGCCTTCGATTGACATAATTTTCTCAAAGCACATTTCTGTTAAAATTCGTTCAAGCAAGCCATGAGCAAAAGGGTTTGGATATTAAAAGCATAAAAACAGTCACTAGAAGGACAGTTCATGTAAAAAAGCTAAAAGGTTTATTTAATAAAAGAGTATTTATGTAAAACGAAACAGCCTACTTATAATAATTTGACTGACAGATAAAATAATTGCCTTAAAAACAGTTCTGAGTCATTTTGTCCTTACCTGCAGGCATGAACCATTACTGCATGCAGTGACTGTTCCATTTCCTAGCACAGACTTGAACAAGCATCACATCTATCTTACAGAATGTGACTAATTTGTGGGTTTGCAATTCCTGAGCTATTTGCAAAGGACACTCCCTTTCTACATAACTGGGTGATGCTTTATGCTTAGCCAAGTTATATTTTCTATTAACTAAATTTAACAGCAACCTTGGTAACTGCGGAATGATTTTTTTAATACAACAAAAATTGAATCTTTAAAACTGGATTTAGAAATCAAGATGCTTTTTGGGTGAAAACAAAAAAATAGAACAGACTGCAACAACAGCATATATATACACATACACACACACACACACACACACACACACCAGTAGTCTGCTGTATTATGATTTGCATGCTGCAGCTGATTAGACTTAATTACAAACAAACAAACAAAAAAATCAATAGCCCTTTGCAAAAAAAAACAAAGCTTAAACAAAAACACAGATTCAATTCATACTTTACAATAATAAGCATGCAATACATCAACATATTAGCATACTTGACAAGGAAAAATGCCCTGTGCTGCTTGTTTGCAAATGCTACACCATTAATTGTTCATGCAAGAGATGTAGCTGTACCTTTCTGAAGAGGACGACTTCTCAGAGTTAACTGACATCAGCAGCTCAATCTTCTGCTTGATTTCTGGAAAAATCAGAAAATATTCACAACCAAGATTGCCTGTCCTTGCTTTCCACAGTTTTATTATCAAGCAATTTTTTCCTAATCCGTTTTGTTCAAAATGAGGCCACAAAATTCACAGTATTTCTGTAGAGACGGATTCAATGGTGCTATAAAGGAAAAAGCTCAAGAGGCATCAGGCCTTGCTAAACTATGCACATGACTGTTTATGAAAGCAGGAAGTACCATTTCTTTTAAGCAGAGGGGTGTTTCCTCTTTTGAGGCTGAACTGACATATTTACCAGATATTTCCTATCGCTGTAAATTACAAACTGATGTACAAATGCCAGCTTGTATGAAAACAATTTAGCAAATAGATCATGGACTTAATTACTCCAAAGCTGTGTTACCTAAGCATTTCTGCTACCCTTAGAAACCTTGATTTAAAAAGTCCTAGAAATATGGCTCTTTGAATCATTTTTGTCACAAAGAATGAAGTATTAAATCATTACTTTAATATATGAATTAGAAATCATAAACAAAAAAAACTGCTAATACCTGAATTTCTTAAATGATATGCAAAATACTGTCTCAAATACACTTTGAAAGCCAAATTTTAATTTTCCTTCATATTTACTTTACCCCTCTGAATGCTCACAACCAATGAACAGCAACACCCATTAGCAGAGCTGAGCTGATATATTATACTTGTCCAAAAAGAAATGGCCTGACAATGCCATCTAGAACAGAAATGTTGAGAGGCAGATCAATTTTACCAACTGACTATTCCCATTACATCAGTGGGGGTGGAGGGAGAAATACCCCCATACCATCTGTGATTTCAATTTGATGAGATCATCTCAAAGCCATATACACATGGGTATTTTTATAAATTAATTAAATTATCATGTTGCCAGGAGCTATGATCTTTGAAAGATCAAAAGCAAAAGTTACTATGATTTCATAGGGCTGAATAATTATCTTAAGAACCTATAATGAATGGAGCTGGTAGTACCACCTATATTTAATGTTGCCCAATGCTTCTCATTATAAAACCCTATTTTCAGCTCCTTATGAGTTTGCTTAGCTCTAACTATTTATGCTGAAATATTCTAATGGCAGGGATCTGCCTCATGCTGACTATTTAAAAAAAAAAAACATTTAAATTGAAAAGATTCAGGCACTTATAAAAACAAGATTAAGGAAAAAAATATTTTATTTTGTCAATATTGAAGGAAAAGAGTCTTAGGGTCTTGTTGCACGGGAGACTTAGTACATGTTTTATTTAAATTGTAGTAAGCGTTACTGCGCAGTATTAAAAGTTAGAACCTGTTCTGGGCAATCACACAGTAATGCTTCCTATGATCTCAGCCTGCTCTTACCAGGGCTGGAACCAGCTGTACCACCTGCCCCCCTCAACACTGACCCTGGCACAGGGCACCACAGCTCGCATGTCTGCCCATGGGAACGTGCAACCCCCCAGCCCATCGCCCACACTTTCCCTGCCACGTGCCCAGCACTGTCCAGCCCAAGAGGGTTCCCCCCATGGGGAATTGAGTGTGACAGAGGGTGTGTAAGAGAAAAACGGCAATACAATCATAAAAAGCAGATGACCCTTGAAAAAGCAAATGATCTTTTTTCCCCTAAAATTAAAAGATCGCCTCTTTCTGACAGTAAGTGACATGTACTTCTCGCTGATGGTAATGTGTAACCGTGAACCCAGTCTCAACCGGCCCAAGCTTGCTCTGTACCATGTTTTGCAATTTTGTAACGGCAAGGAAAAAAACCCGAATGCGCGCGCAACGATGTAGCAATGCAATGCTTAATGTATAAATACCAAGCTGTAAACTCAGTTCAGGGGGAACTCTCTGTCTTTGTGACACTGGGTGGCCCCCCTCTGCAGAGAAATAAATCATCTTGCCGACACCCCCTCGTTCTCTGCCTAATTGATCACAGCTAGGAACAAGCGCAAAGACGGGATGTGACCAGTGCTCATCGGTGTATGAGCACACCCTTCGGTGTATGGGTGCTACACAGTAGCTGATCAAATTTCCCCAACAGGTGCCACTCCTGCACATGTGCCACAGCTCCTCCAGCACTCTGGGAGTCAGGAGGAGCAGAGCAAGGGCAGTTTGCCCAAAGCAGGATAATCTGTCCCTCACCAAAGGGCATGTGCAGGGTTGTATGCACGCTATGCCAAAAAGTAGTGGCACAAATTTGCGTTGCTACTGTTTTTGCCACTGCAAACATGTTGCCCTGCGCATCGGGACATGGCATACGAGATCAAAAGTATGCACCTCTGTTTTATAAAAGCAAAGG